TTTCTACTGAAAAGTCGTATTTTTTAGATTGCATAAATTTTCCATCTTTTGTTCGGTTGAGATAAGAACTTCTTTTTCAGACATGCAGCTTGTTCAACCGTGTTAAATTTTCAAAAAGATTTTTTTTCTTTCTGCTGGGTATAAGTATGTTGGGGGAGTAAGGTATGGGGGTCTAACTTGCACAGTAGTTTGGAAGTTTACTTTTTGCCAGTATCCTTGGTGTTTTTCCATTTTGGGTTCTTGAAACTTGGTTTCAGAGCCAGCTCGTCGTTTTGATAAAATGAAGCGACGTAGTGAAAGTTTAGGAGGTGAGTCCAGTGACAGGTCTCAACTTAGTGATGACGAGAACAGCGCTTTGGGATCTGCGCAGCTGGTCAGTGCGTCGGCTTTGTTAGAACAGGTTTGTTCCGATACCAGTATTTGGTTTATATATGGTTACTTGTTTCTTTTAATTAGATCTTTTAAGAGTTGTGTCTTGATCTTGTATTTTTATATGCAATTGTTTAAAAGCTTCTCACTCTTGCTTTTTTATCCAAATGATTTTTTTTATTTGTGAGAACGTCCTTGCCAAGTAAAAGGTTTTTTTAGAATGCACAAAGTTAGCACTCTGTAGAAGTAACCACTTTGAACTGAAACTTTGCTCGAGCTTTCGCGTAATCTACCTCTTTTGCAGATGTAGTCAAGGCAAGGCGTTCAGAGTTTAGTTAAAACTGAAAAATAAAAAATAAGAAATAATTGGAAATAAGTTCATGGAAAATTTGAATCATCAAACGAAAAAAATGCAGTATTGGAATACAGTCATCACTATAGATTTCTGGGCTGTTCTACGTCAAATCAGAAACCTTTTGAACTCGATTTTTTCGATTTTTAACAGTTATGGTGTTTGATCTTAGATTCTTAACATTAAAAGTCTACAACGCTTTATAGCAAGAATTGGCACTTTTCTAGGCTGAAAGAAGTTAGCATTTCCTGTTGAGCATATTTTACTTTGAAGATTTCTGTCATTGTCATTCTTTGTGATGCCAAACTTTTTTACGTTTGTTTGAAAAACGTGTCTGTAGGTCCTAACGAGATGGTTTTTTTAGTAAACTGTAGAGTTTGGACAAGCGGCGCGGTGTAAATTGAAACTCGGAAAAGAAATAGTCTTTTCAGTTAAGCAGAATATCTTTTACTGGAAAAATTCCAAACCTATTGAAAAGTTACTAAAGTTTTGAAGTAAGGCCTCTATGAACTGACAGTTTTCTAACATCTAATGTAAGGTTAGGGCACTATAAATTTGCTGTAACACAAAAGTACTGTTTCTGTGGCACTAAAAAACCCATTTAATTTTTTATATTATTTGGCTTTGAAAGGACCTCCCGAAGCCATCAAGGTGGCAAAGCAGGTCATCAAAAAGTAGGTTTAGAGTGAGTTATTCTGGCACGTTTTTGATGGTCACTCGGTTTCCCTCTTTGTAGTTCATCGGTCTGTGGTAGTCATATTTTAGGGGCTACGGACCTTGAAAACTACAAAGAATGGAACCTTGGAAGTGACGCTTAAAAGGGGAAGTTTTTTGCGAAGTATGTTTTTTAGAAGAGCCTTGTTTTCAAAATTTGTTTTTAATTTGGTGCATTGTATTAGTTTTATAATGTATTGCGGAAAATTAGCAGATTGAGTGCCTTATTGTGAAGGGAATGTAATTTGAACAGAAGTTTGAGGAATTTTGATTTTTTGGAGAGTAACTAAGGCAAA